TGAGGTAAGTCACACTATCAAGGTGTTACATTTGGATAACTCCAAGCATAAAATATAGCATTTAAATTAAATGGAAATTCTATTTTACTTGAATTTTTTTCCCCAGTCTTCCTTAGCAAGATTGGAGTAGTCTGCTTCTTACTATTCATTCTCTTTTTAAGAAAAATAGTAAAAAATAAAGGATATTGTTTATGTAAGATAGTCATTTTTGAGTGGGACACATAACATTTAAACGGACCTTTTAGAATCTTTGTATTTTTTGTTTGACTATCTTTTTTTTTTCTTTTTGCTTAATTAATGCTTGTCATTTTCTTTGAGAATTAACTAAAATCCAGTGCCTTACAAAAGCTTTTCTGTGATTTGCTGTACTTTCTTAGCAGTACCTTTCAGGGTGTGTAGGAGATCTTGGCTCTGTTGTTCTGCCCTGTACTGTCAGATTTACAGATTCTGAGAGCCAGAAAGACCTCTGCAGTCATGCAGCTCATTACTCTCATTTCCTGAGGAAGAGGATGAAGGGGACGAGGCCGGCTTCCAGTCACACAGCTGGTTGACCCTTGAGCCAGAATTATGACCCAGGGCAGTTTTCACTCTTCTCCGTTTTGAAGTTGCTTGATTGTTTTATGTGTATGTGTGCATGTGTTTTTGTCTCTAGCTGGAAGATTTGTGGTCATGACCTAACCTTTTCCTTATGCACAAATTCTCTCCCACATCAGTGTCCAGACTAGGCATACTGGAAGTCGTAAGAGTAGCCCTTTGGGGGCAGATACCCATGGTGTATGACTATTCTTTGGCTTAATTCTATTTTAAAAGAGTCTTTACCTTTTAATATTCAAGAAAGCCTATTCTTGAATCCCACCTATTGGTAGAACTAGTTAGTATTACAAATAATTCAAGTTTTATATTTTCTTGGTTGTCCTGACATGAAGACAGATATAAATACCTCTCTATTAATTAGATGATTAGGTACAATTTCATTTTCTGATTATTTGAAATCTTGTGACAAGGGGATAAGTACCAGAATATGTATCTCAATATGAAAATGCAATTCTACATCTTTTAAAAATAGTTATGGAGTACAGGAGAACAACTTACTTAAAACAGTGCTCCTTGGACACGAGTAGTGATCATGTTTAATTTACCCTTCCACCTACCAGTACCAGCCTAAGTGGACCTCCACATTTGGGGCCTGTGCAACTTATGCATAAAGAACTTTACAGGTGGTTCTGACACAGAGCCAAAGTAAGAACTTTGGCTTAGAGGAACAGTGCAGTTGAGACGATGGAGGCCCCTTTTAAGAGAAAGTCGCTATATTGGAGAGGGGCTCCAATGAGATGGGTATGTGGAAATATTATGCAAAGGTACAAACTGATTGTCTTGGTTACTTTTTTCTCGTTGCTGAGACAAAATACTTGACATGCAAAGTTAAGGAAGGAAAGGGTAATTTAGCTTATAGTTTGTGGAGGTTTCAGTCCATACTCAGCTGGCTCCAAGGTAGAGGGGCCCATGGCAGAGGGCAGCAGTTCATGGCAGCGGAAAACAGCAAAAACAACAAGAGCAAAAGGGAAGAGGGGCGGCAGGAAGCCTCTTTCCCTCCCTTACATTGTGTGCAAACTAGCTGCCCCAGGGCGGGTGTAGCACTCATATCCATAATCCCAGCATTAGATCATGGATCAATCATAAACTCTAGAAGTCTGCCCCATGACTGCATGAGGCTTTAGGGGGGACGCCCAGACACGAACTGTTACAGTGATATTATCCCTCACTGAGTTTTTCTGGCTGCACACAGGCTATGCCTTTCTGTCTCCCATAGTCTTGCAATTGCAACTACAAATCTCAGTATATCTAGGATGTTAGTGATTCAACCAAGACCGTGTCTTCTGCATCTCACCTCAGAAGTGACGCAGCCGGTTCTACATTGCTAATAGAAGTCTGTGGCTAGGAATTGACACTTCATCATCATAATGAATGGTGGTTGACCCAGCCACTGACAGTGGTAGTAAGGTTGATTCTGTGTTTGGATCTTGTGGTGCCGGTCTTACAACTGTCTGTCGTCATGTCCCATTCTCTCTTCAGTGCATTTATTCCGTGGTATATGTAAATGCCCACCATATGTGAAGCTGCCATATGGGTATTCTGTTAAACTGAGCAAATATTTAAAAGGTATTGATGAAATTATACGCAGGAAATAGTGAAGTGGTCACAGTGATTTAGGTTACACAAGTAGAGAACTGGCAAACGCCAGTTTAAATTTTTAGCTGGACTCTCTCTGCATCTTGCTCTGCGCTAGGTACTGTGAGTCACAACAACAGCCAGGGACATCAACGTTTGAGTCACTTAGTTTTCAAAGGAGGCAAAGTCGGCTAGGTTGGTGATTGTGACATAATAGTACTTGCATATACTTCAATGGAGTTCACTCTAATGAGGCAGAGTGATATTTTTTCTTTTCCTTTTTTGACTTAAGGTGGACACTGGGGATCATCTAAGTCTACCGTTTACCAGACAAGGAAGTGATTTTTAAGAAACAAACTTACGATAAACCATTTCTTAGTCAAAATTTAGAGCAGAGAGCTCTTCCCTCTTCCTCCGGCAGTGGGGTACGTCTTTGTAAATGCCTGGGTATGTGAGTGGACCACATGGCATTTTCATTTATTCAGAGTAGAGTCGAGAGGGTCTATGTTTAGCACTCGAATATTGGACCCGATTCAAGTATGAGTCAAGTGTGTCTAGAGGCTTTATTCATACCTATTTTCTTTTAGTCAGCAATGCTTCATAATGCCTTGGTTTCATGAATTAATTTTAATGGAATTAAACTTGAACAGCTCAAAATTATATAATTAATTTCATTCAGCTTCAATTAAAGTTACTAATTGAATCAAGCCTACTAGCATGACACCTGGCGGCTGACAGCTACATAACAGTATCAGCAAGTATGTGGAACCCTGCTGACAAGCTAGCTCCTGGTGCTAGTGCGTTCCTATAGAAATCTCTTGTATTGATAATCTCAGAAAGGCCTTGAGTTGACTGGAGCAGTGGAAGATTTCTGGAGTTTTTAGAAAAGTAAAGATTTTAATTGAAACTAACACATCTCATGAAGATTACATTTTCCTTATGATAATGCTGAGTAAATGTTACATAAACCTAGAATATATAGGTTTAGCATGCTTTTAATTCATATTTTACTGCTGTTTGAATAAGATTTTGCTTTCTGAAAATAGGTAGAGTTGAAGACCCTTTTAAAGATCTCAGCCTCTGAATTTATTCCTGAGTTCATGTCCGTCTATTTTAATGTGTTGAAATGTGTTTCATGCCAGAACTTTTCAATTGTTGTGAAATCCCCAGGGTACATGAGAAATTTTTGCATGTGCAGGAAATTTTCCTTCCATTGGAAATGTTAGCACGGTTGACTAACAACTTCTGTTGGAATCTGTTTCCTTTCCTTGCTTCCATAGCTTGCATCATCCTGCTCCTACTACTTTCCTAACTGCTTCACCATGGTGCAGAGTTCTTAATACCCTTTTTAACAGATTCACTTTTTGGTGAGCTCGTTAATTCCGAAGACTTCAATAATTAAGTTGAAGGAAGATGGCTGTTTCTACCTGCACCTTTTTTTCTGGCGTGTGAAGTTAAATACCAGTACTGAGCTGCTCCATGAGACTGTACCCTCTATGAGGGAAGGCCTGGGCTGCATCTCATAAATCATGGTATTCCCATCACCTTGCTCAAATGCTGAACACCTTTATGCTACACACACATTTATATATAACCAGTAAGTTGCTCTCCTGATCTCTAGGTTTTTCCAGTCAACTTCAGACTAAGAACTTGGTCATCTCCAGCCCCGTATTGTTGGTAGGGCCCAGAAATCTGCTTTTATTTTCCAGAAAACTTTCCAAGTTAAAAAATGTGCAGTGAAGAGAGAGAACCATTGTTGTGCAAAAGTTTATCCATCTGCCCGGGACATGGCGTTGCTTAGGCATTTCCTAAAGCTCCGTTGCATGCTTTCACTTACCTTGTTTTTAAATTAGGTCCAGAGTTCTCACCTTGTCATTAAATACCCAGGCTCTGTCTCTAATCAAATCTTTAGTCTTCTTCTTTTTACACCAGGGATCAAACCCCTGGAGCCTTACCTTCTCATGTCCCCCTGAGAGCACTTCACAGCCCCGAAGGTTGGAACCTTTGCCCAAGCGCCTGCCTTTGGAGTTTTCCCATGCTGTTCCTCCATGTTTCTCCCATCCGGGCTTTTCGAAACCCTTCTAATCTTCTAAAGACCATCCAACGTGCACCTTTTTCATCGTGTCTTTCTTGATCTCTGCATCCTGATGAGTTTTTTTCCCTTCTTTTGAACCTCTTCAGTGCTCTGGGCCTTTCATAGCGTGCGTTTTTACCTGGCGTTATACGTTACTCTTGTTTGACTTCCGTTGCCAACAAGACTACATTTCCTCACATCGTGGCTTTGCCCCCTGAGAACTCATAACCCCCCATCTAAATCTCTCATCCTCAGCACCCTTCTTCTCTGAGGCGGCATTTTACATTCTCTGACTTTTTTCCCAAATTTCTACAGAGAGAACTCTGTGCTTGCCTTCTGTCTCCTCACTCCTCGGTCCCTTCTCCTTGAACTACAGCACGACTTTCATCCCCTCCATTCACTGGAGCCGCGTCCCCTTTGGTGCTTTCCCTGGCCCAGCTGCGCCCTCGCTGGCTGTGCGGACTCCCTCGCCTTCATCCTCATGTCAGCTTTCCACACGCTTTGCCATGGCGGATCACTTGCTGAGTTAAAATTGCTTATTGACTATAACCTTGACTGTTGTTCCCTGTGAAGATAGCTGTTTCTGTAATGCACAAAGTAGGTGTTTAGTGAATAAATGTTACCGAGGCATTGCTTCTACTCCTGTTTCCTTGAACTGTGCTAGACTGAGACCCATTAAGAAAAATCTGTAAGCCACAAAATTAGAGAAAACGTGTAGTAGTCGATGATAATAAATTTGTATTCTTTTTTTATTCAGAAAAATGTAATAAAGACCCAGCTGAGAAAGATGTAACTCAAGCTACCAATAGCCACTTCACACCTGGGGAGATTCAAGAGCAGCCCTTGTGGGAAAACCCTTCAGATGGTGACCTCGTCAGAAGTAAGTATTTTTGAACAGAAGATGTGGCTGATTTGGGGTTATACTATGATAACGTGCTCTCAGTCAATGCTCATATAACTACAAATCTGTAAGTCAAGAATTTACTTGGAAGTGTTTTCACTAGTATTTTAAATTGCAGAGCTAAAACTGGCACGTAAATAATTCTGTCCATCTCCCATCATTTCTTGAAGAAAGGATGAATCAATTTGTGTATTCTGGATGAGACTCTCAGAGAGATTTGTCCGAACTGCTTAGTTCCTTACTGAGCACCTCAGTGGAATCAGATAGCACTGCGGAAATGTGGACAATGCAACTTTAAAAAAAGAAAGAAGGAAGCAAGAGGCTCTGGGTGTGGATGCTGCTGCTGTGGTCTCTATTCTTGTAGCCAAAGGGTTTCAGATCTTTTTATTTTTCAATTGCTATTGTGCCACTATCTGTTTGTGTCTTCACTTTGATACTCTCCTGCTTTCTGAAATTGCTCTGTAGAATAGTACAGAAGCATCAGTAGTTTGCTCTATTCTGAGAGTCCCTTGAAGTACCTGTGACTTTTGGGTGCTGTTCAGAATGATGATTCTGTGTGCGATTCTGCTTTCAACCTTCTAGAGCCTGTGCTCTGGTTGGTAAGTTCGCCCAGGTGGGTTTGAGATGAATTTGTCACCTAATGAATCATTCTGTATAGCAAATATGTTCACGCACAGATCAACACTATAGAGTTCTTCTGAAATTCCTGTGTAAGGGAACTCAATTTACGTGTTTCACTGTCAGTGTGCAAAGTGGGAGGTGAAGAATTCATTCCTGGGATTCAAGTGTTATTTTGTTTATTTAAATTCAATTGACCAGTTCAGCATATAGACCATTTTTTGTGTTGCACTGTACATTTACAGTATTTGGGAGGTTGTATTATTCCCTGCTTCCCTAGCACCCTTACTGCCTTGCCCAAACTAAAAATTAAACCGAATAAAGCAGGGGAAAAGGAAGGGGTGGGGAGAAATCAACTTAGCAGAAAACAAACAGAAACAGTAAAAACATTAAGAAGGGAATTCCCAGTTGTCAAACAAAAGCTGTAAAAATGAGTGTGTTTTAGTTGAATTTTAGAACTGTTTTTATTTTGATACACTTTTTTTCTTGGGCAAACGAGTAGAAAGGAAGGAAGTCAAACTCAGAAATTATTGAGGAACAAGATTTATGTAGCTTTTACTAACGGATCAAATAAACATGATTTTAAGTATGTCGTTATCTCCAAATATATATCGGTCACTTATTATCTATATTATCAATTGTGAAGCAAGGCTTTGTGAGATTCTGGCGTAAGTCATTGATGATTTCCTAGCAACCAGGAGTAGTGAGTTCTATACTAGAAAAAGTCTGTGAGGCAATTTTAACTCCACCTGTTGAGTAGGAATTCTCTCTCTCTCTCTCTCTCTCCACAGCTCGTCATGTGCTTTATTTAATGGGCTTATTTTGCTAATCTCCTTTACCACGGCCTACACTAGCATAATAAGAGTAAAATCTCTTTGGATAAAAACAAAGTCCAAACACTTGTTGCATCAGGACATGGAGAATTATGTTTATTTGCTAAATTTGTTTGTGCTGCCTGGTGAAGCTCAATTCAGTCACAGCATTCTTACTACTAAAGAGAATGTATTTAAAGCAATCTCTCTCTCTCTCTCTCTCTCTCTCTCTCTCTCTCTCTCTCTCTCTCTCTCTGTCTACTGGTTAAGTGGACAGTGATCAAAAATATTGCTGGAAATAGTCTCTTTATTGAGAAAATGATGCAATCTGTGCCATGGGACACTGGAACATTCGGGAACATACTGAGTTTTCTGCCAGTAGCACTGACAGAAGGCAGCGGTAGGAAGATGATCACTCCCTCTGCGAGGGCTGTGAGGAATATCGAAAGATGAATGGTACACAGCTAATGGCCAAAGACAGCAACGCCTCTCCAGCTGGAAACAGCAAGCATTTCTAGATTTTTGTAAGTGACGCTTGACTTTGAATTCACATTACAATTTTCAAAAACTGCAATTTCTGTTATTTTCCAAGTCACATTTTTCTAAGCACTTTCTTGGATCCAGAGAGGTAATTTGGGTTTGCAGAAGTGGAAAATTTTATATCATCTTTAAACCTAACTCGATTCTGAGTAGCATGTGAAACTTCGACTATTGTCGGAGCGCCTGCTCTTCCAGCTCTCTCACACTGGGCTCTTTGTAGCAAGGACTTGCTCTCTCTGGCCTTCCCCACCAACTCTCTGGCCATCTCTTGTAATTTCAGGTCAGCCTCTCTTAACCCTGAGTTTAGGGGAGATATGTGTCTGCACCTTACTTCAGCATGTAGTTCCTGTCTGAAATCCAGTAAATCTTCAGTGAAAACAATAGGCCTTGGGAAGGGAGCCTCTGGCCCAGTGCTCCATAGGGGCGGGAAAGAACATCTGTGGTGAGTCAGGCCCGGCCTGGCCCCTGTTCCAGAAGCCCTGCGTGGCTCCCTGGGCACCGTGGAAGAGGCGAGCAGCTGGCTCTCACGGAATTGATGTCAGTTTCCCACTGTAGCGCATGGTTGGCTGGACAGAGGGATCATCAGAAAAATGAGCCCGGCTAGGGTGTGGGAACATATTCAAATACACAACCCACTCTTTTTTCCAAGCTTCCATGGGACTGCTCAGCCGCATAAGCAGGCAGTGGAGGAAAGGAACTCTGTGGAACATGAGTTTTTCTTTATTCTTAAAAGTCGTTACCGAGGCCCGGCAGCTCACACCTCCGTTGTCCTGGATTCCTGCTGGCCTCTTTGTTGGACATTTAAGGCATGATTTATAGAGGACTGTTCGCTGTCAGTATGATGAGGCTGTTTTTACTTTTGTTGCTGAGAATAACTGAGGTCTGGAAAGTCAAGGGAGTGGCTGCTTTGGAAATTGCATTCTAATTAAAGGGTGTATTCTCAGGCTTCATAAACGAGATCCAAGCTGAGAATAATTTCCAAATTATTCTGCGAACTCTAACCCTGACCTCAGGGGACCACCCCCTTCTGGGTTACACTGGATTCAAGCTCCACGCTGGAGTTTGTGCTTTGTCTGTCTTCCCTGTTCCTTTTAGAAAATATTGCGGGCAGCAGACCTGGGGTACTGGAGTCTTTAGGGGTTTAGATTTCAAATTGGTTGCCCCTGAGTTGCTAACTTATTAGAGAAATTTTTTTCCTAGAAATAATAAATAAGAGAGAAGAAATCCATATGGACTCAAACATTTCAAATAAATAGGCCACACACAATCTGACCAAGGAATGTGCATTCTGACTCTTATGAATTTTAAATTGAGAAAAGACAAATCAGCCACTTAGGTTTGTTAAAAAGTTAAATAAAATTAGTAAAGTATGAGCGTCACAAAAGAGGTTTTGTGAGGAAATTTTATCATTGTAAAGTTTCTTTATTATTTTATGATTTTGTTCATCCCTTTAAAGTTGACAAGGCTTTCATATGGTGAGGAAATATTTTAGCCTATAATTTAATATTTGGAATGGAGATTAAAACTTCAAGTTGGTAGAACTTTTTATGAGAGTAGTGGCTAAGGCTGTGGCTTTTTGCCTCAGATTACCAGATACAATACTGTGTAGAATTTGAAGATTTTACTTGTATTAATAATCACTATTCCTGTGACTTGGTAACATAAATGTTGCAGTAAAGTGAAATCCCCAATTAATATTAACTTTTCTATTTAACCCATAATATGCGTAACCTGATAACAGGTAATAGACAACATTACATGTTTTACTTAGACTAGAAAAGACACAGAAATAATATTTTGATCTCAGTCTTTGCGGGGATTTCTAAGGTAGAAAGGAATGTGTGTGTATGCAGACTGTGTGTTCTTGTGCTTATGAGAAAGCATATGTAATATTTTGCTTTAATTTAGGTCAAATTCCACTATCCTAATTATTGCCTATAAAGAGCTTACATTTTTCTTTGTTCCTCTTTATAAAATGCCTCAGGACTCTATCTCAGATTTTTCTAGGTCTTTCTGAAAATTTTTATTACTTAACTTTATCCTTGGACATTGCCTTTGCATAAATGTCTCCTAATTCTAAATGTCATTACTTAACTCCAGAAATTTTCCTTAACTTCTCTTCTGAAATAAATTTCCCATTAAATTAAACTATTTTGTTCAGCTAATTCTCTCCTTTGTGATTTTATAGAATTCCCATGATCTGAAGCAAAGTTAGAATGCTCTACTTAAATGGTAATCCCCATTCTGTTTAACCCATTTATTCATTTTGAAGAGTTTTTAGCTCTCATAATAGTAAGCACTTAACTGGCAGCAGAAAGCAAGCCCTTCTCCAACTCACACCTGCCCCGCTTTTGGAGCTGCTGTATCATGCCTTCTCACTCATCCTGCGACTTGAAACATTCCTCTTGGCATCATCTGAATTTCTAACAACATCAACAGACTGTTATAGGGACTATTATTTCTTTTCCTAGCCTTCACCAACTTTCCTCTGATCACTCTTTAATGAATACCCTTTTATTGCTTCAGGGAATGCCGCCTTTATGGAAAACAGGTACTCAGGTAGCGTATTTGTATACTTAGGGCTTTTCTTACCTTCATGATAAGGAAAGAGCGTCAAGAGGCTTAGGTTTAAATTTCTCCCACAGCTCTCTTCTTTGAATGTACATTTCAGCAAGTATTATTTGGTTTTCCTTAGAATTCATTTTGTATAAAAGAGACCATAAACAAGGCTCCAAATAAGTACCACCTAGTGAAAACTGATATGTGTAGCATTTGGGTTTGTTTCTCAAGAAATCTAGCAGATTATGTTTTTTTCTAAGACTGTATGACCATTGGACCTTTGAGAGAAGTACTGGGAACAAGCCTTCTGTGTCACTCCATTGTACTTTTTTCAGTACTGAGGATTGAACTCAGGACCTCCCACAGTTAGGCGGGCACTCTGCTACTGTACTGTATTCGTGGCCCTTTTTTGTCTTGTTTCCTTTTATTTTGAGACAGGGTCTTTCTAAA